CTTTATATTTGTAAAAGACAGATAAACCTAGACAAAAATAAATGAATAAAAAAAATAGGAGGGAGTTGAGATGTAGTAAGGGTACTGTAACCTTTTGAAGTAGTTTACTGGCTCACAAAGAAGTATCTGTTGACCCTGAGAATAGACCTGGAGAGCAGGACGTGCTGGGGCTCATAGTGAAAGATCAAGTGATTTGCTACTTACAGGGTAGTCATGCGACTGAAATGCCAATTAAAAAGAATATGGAGGCATTCAGGAAGGCCAGGCAGGGCAAAAAGAGACATTGCCTTGTATTTCAAAAAGGTAGACCCTTCCTGAGATGCAAAACAATTATTGCTGGTTACAGGTAATGGTTAAAGGGGAGAAAGAAGTTGGTGGCAATCAAGCCACCGAGGCAGCAGGGTGAGGTGGTTGAGGCTCTCTGTGAGCAGCTGCATCCACTGAAGTCCTGGGCTTGGTGGTGGTAGATTTTTCCTGATCAGACATTGCTTGGAAAGGAGGGCTTCAAGACACAGATTGTCTAGATCTTTTCTGAAAAACGTGGGTGAGATTCTTGACAGAAGACAAGGAATGCAGCTGAACAGGAGGCTCTTCTAGACCGGACTCTGACTAACAAGGAGGGACTGCCCATGAACACCAAGGCTAAACAAGCAACTGCTTTAAAGCTGTAATTACAGCAGCTGCTGGTATAAATTATACCTAGACCAAACCTGTATCTAGGGGTTGGCAGAATGAAAAACATGCATAAAACCAACCATAGATGTTTCCCTTGACCTATGCTTCTTGTACCTCAGGCACAACAACTCAGGCCTTGGCACTAGGGATGCTTAAGTTTTACTGCCTGCACTCTGCCCATGGAGAAATCCCATGTAAGAACACTTTAAAATAATATTTTTTTTAATTCCCTAAAGGTCTTCCATAAATGTTTCCTTGTTTCTTTTCCATGTGTAAAATCCAATCTCTCTGAAATCCAAGATTTCCTTTAGTAAGGTCCAGATAGCTCTCCAAGACCAACATCTTTCAGCTATGGTGTGAAGGCAGTTTCCCAAAATGGCATTGGTTTAGATGAGCTGTTTTCTCCAGCACCTCACTAGTCCTGGTGTAGTCCTCTCAACCTCACTGGTCTGGAAGAGTAGTGCTTAGCAGTAAAAAGTTTCTCCATAGCCACGGGAATTACCAACTAGCAGACCTTACTTTTATGGCAATCCAGAACAGATATTTTAGGTTGAAAGTAGATTTAATGTTCTGTCTCCTATAATTCCTATAATTTGTGTGATTCAAGATGCCAGAGGATCCTGATGTCAGGATGTGGAGACAGTCTACTAAAATAGCTGTGCCAATATGCATATATACATATATATAAATATATATATAAAAATAACACAATATACATTTTTTTTTGTTTGCTCTTTAAAAGCAGGAGGCTGAAAATTGTCTAATTTCAAAGAATTATGAAAAACGTTTGGGTGGAGCAGGGAATGTTGCAATGTGCATTTAGTTAAATTAGAGAAATGTGTATGTATGCATATGGGATGTGGGTAAAAAGCTGACTGATTGTGAAATATCAGGCTGAAAAACTGGGTTGCAAACTCAGCCATAGATGATGATAAGGAATAGTGGTAGTTTTTGCAGGAAAATGCAAAAATTTGCAAAATATGTATTTTTCAATTATTTGTAAAATGTGCAAGGTCTGCAAATTTCTGACCACAAAGTGGGCAATGTCTACTTAGTAAGCAAAACTACTTCAGAGTAGCCATATTGATTTTAGAGTTACCAGATGCATATTGAGGAAGCTTATAAGTAACTTAATCTTATCATTTCTCAGTGCAGGTAGGCATAACTCTATAAACATAAGAGTCTTTAGACAAAAATAATTAAAAGAAATGTATGAGACTAATATTGTAAATGCCTTCAGATTTTGAGACAATGCAGAGTTAAAATAAAATAAAATAACTCTGATGAGTTTAAGGGAGTTTAACTTGCAGTTAGGAGACTTTGACTACCTGCTTCACTACTCTTAAATTTTGCTTATGTTCTTTTTGGTCAGAGTTTTCCAGAGCAACCACCTATGTAGACATATAGCCATGACGTCTGGGACTGCTCGGTGAATTCAGGCAGCTGTAGGTCTTTGTGCTGAAGCAATGAAAAACCTAACTAGCTGCTTCTTGTTAAGCAGATTCTGCTGAGAATTAGAGGCAGTCAGTCCTGGCTTAATCTGGGATAGTGATAACCTCTCAAAAACATTCAAGTACAGTAACAGTGCTGATAACTACTCCAGAGAAGAGGAGAAGAAAGAGAGTGTTATAGGAAGGAAAAAATAGATTAACAAAAAACTGATATTGGAGGACTAGCTCACGAGACTCATGTTGTCTGAGAGGCAAGAGAATATAAACAGTAATGAGGCCTAAAAGATTGTCTGGGGTTAGATTATATCTAATAGTTATATTCCCATGCTCTTTAAAACTAATTAGTCTGTACTTTTCAGTAAATAAAGGTGTTTTGTTTTGTTTTGTTTTTCCCTAAGCATTGTCAATTTGTAAATTCTCATTTTTCTAAATAATCCTAAGGCTTGAAGGTTCTTCTATGCAATTTTTGTTTTTCTCTGAAGAAGTTATTTCCTTGTTCCTCATTTAGAAAGCTGGGGTGAGCCCCAGCTCACATTTTATTTATTAAAAATGACAAATTTGATAACTACCAGAAGACAGCTTTGTGACTATCACATCCCAGGACAAGATTCGTGACAGAGATAGAAAAGCATCTTCTGTAGATCCAGAACTGTGAGTCTGAGCCTTGTTTTCAGCTCTGTTCAGTCTGTTAAATTTATAGCTGGAGACTTGGATTATCAGTGTAAGGCAGGTGTGCGTATTGCTTTTGTACTACGGGTTACAGAAACTGTTGAAAGCTAAACTCATTATCCCTATAGACAATCTAATATCTTGACTTCGATTAGCCCTACTTTTCTAATCCTCTAAAATATTGCACACTTGACTTGCTAGTCTTGAATACATTCTTAGCCTTGAGTGACTCTCCTAGTTACTGTGTGGGTTTGTGCGTTGGTTTGAGAGAGGTGACAGACCTGACAGTTACAGTAGGAAAAAATGAGATTCATCTTGTATGACAAAGTATCAGTACTTTGTAGTTCCCAATGTTCTTTTGTGACTACCTGTCTGAAAACTCTTTGATGAAAAATTCTTTATGGGAAATAAATAAATAAATAATCAGACCATAACTTTATAGGTCCATCATACTAATACATTGTATTCTAGGACATTCTCATATTTTTAAATGTTTGTGTTAATTTAATAGATAATAAATGATAGTGATGCTTATTAGATGACAATCTATTTGCTTCCTTCTTTTCAAGAGGCAGTATGATTCTAAAATACAAGGGATGGATGTGTGTTGTTATATGTATATATTCACAGAGGTTTTTTTTATTGTTCTGCTTAAGAATCTACCTTCTCCTTATCCTATTAAGTCCAGTTATAATATTATTTGCCAGTGTAACTCCAACTTCAGCTTGGTTTCTTTGAATATATTCTCAAGTAATTCAATCAGAATTGGTCCATTAGTCATTGACAATAACTGTCCCATTTTCTGCTAAATACTTCGGGCTAACCAAGTAAAAAACATTGCTTTTTTATTCCCTTTAGGAAATAAATTATAAAAAACTCATTTCAAATGCAGAGTTCACAGTGGTTAGTTTTATCGATGGAGTAATGACAATAGTCTTGCTTACTGAAACTATGCTGTGTGTGCTCTTGTGTAATTACAAGAACTGGTTTGGGGTGTCAGCATAGTGAGCTCTCTGTCCCAGGTTTTATATAGGCTTAAAATGAATTAATTTCTTTCCATATTTAGCTTTTAGTCGTAAGTAATGAACTGACCTTTGTTGGTTTTCACAGTTTCTCCTTATCCAGATAACAATTTTGGACTTGTATATTAACTTAAAGAACAGAAATCAAAGTTGTAATGGCATGTATGGTCATAGAAGTATAGAACAGCTTGGGTTGAAAGAGACCTTAAAGATCATCTGGTTCCAACCCCTTTGCTGTGGGCAAGGATGCCACCCACTATGTCTGGTTGTTCAGGGCCTTGTCTAACCCAGTCTTGAACACCTCCAGGGATGGGGTAAAACCACTATTTTTTACCAGAGCTGTTTTTGGTTAAACTGCAAGTAGAAGATTAAATTGCCACAAATAATACAGCTATGAAATTAAGCTGAGTGCTTATACAGATGTAACTTAAAAAAAAGAGAGCCTTTAGGAATGATGTGTCCCACTGTACAGTGAATTATATAACCCCACATAATTTAGAAATTCTGAGGGAAAATGAATATGAGAAGCTCAAAAAAAAAAAAAAGTTATATTTAAGGATTCGTTGAATCAGTTTTCCATGGGACAGATGTTCATTAACACTTGCCTATTTATTTTTGTCAATTCAGAGGGTTTTATTTTAGCTGTAAAATAAACATACACAGAGATGTAAACTCATTTTGTTCTGTTGCTCCATGTTCCGCGCTTGGATAGAGGCAGATGCATTGACTGTTCATTTTGTAGCAACAGAGAAAACGTCACTTATATCATCTATCTGGGACCCTGGATTCCAGGATGAATATTTAAAGAGACATGTTTAAAAAAAAAAATAAAAAAAAAATTAACACGCTTCATAATTGTCAGTCTTATCTAGCTAGCCAGTAAGATAAAAAGCAAAGTGCTATGGAAATTCTCCAGACTTTTTTTTTTTTTTTTTTTGTAATTGAAATACCTATAACAATTATGCTTTTATTCTATTATTTGGCAGATCACAAAAATTACATTAAAACAAGCAATCCTACTTGTAAATTAACCATGGTGTAATGTGTGTGTTTTAATTCTGTCCTTTAACTTTTGCCACTGTGTAACTGGGAGGCAGCTTTTCTCCTTAGCAGAATAGGAACTAGACCAACAAGCCATGTTCACCTCACCAAGTAAACAGACATTCATGTATTACGATGGAACTCTTTTACAAAAATCAGTCCTTTATTGTTGCCTTTGTGGGTCCTGTTCCAGGTGCAGAGAATCTCTTTAACACAGGCTTTAAAAGCATCCATAGTGTTACCATGTGCTTGAAAATATCTTTTTGTAGTACAACAAAATACATTCGATATTACCGATGATCCCTGAATGTTAAAATCAAAGTTAGGATCAACAAGCATGGTAAACATAAATGAATCTTTTCTACATCATTTAATGCAGTGTAAATCTGCCCAGCACTTTGTCTTTGAATTTTATTTGCTTTTCTTTCCCACCCCACGTGCCAAACTTTTATTGCTGAAATGATTTGGCTTTCTCAGGCAAAAAACTCTTTTCTCTTTTATATAGCAGCACTTTTTTCCATAACAAACAAGATGTGACTACTTCCAATAGAAATGTATTTAATGTAATGTATTAAGCTCATTGAGTATTTTTAGTGCATTCCTATCAAAAGAAGATGAAGTACGTTTCATAAATCTATCCATTTCTTCAGAAGCCAACTTTTCATTTTCCTTCTTCCAGTTCTGGCTTGTCTTTTTTTCCTGGCTGCTTTCATGCAGGTCATGAGTCAGGACTCTTTTTCCCTGGAGAAATCAGAACTTCTCCTTTAAAAAAAATAATAAATAAAAGTGGATGAATTAGATGGGATATGTCCTGGAGCAACTAAAAGTTTGTATTCCAGATGCCACTGAAACAAATGAAAACATTTCTTAAGAGAAAAATGGCTAATGAGGTAATTCTCAGAGGTCTAGTAAAAAGGAGGAAGCTAGGGGAAAGTGGAGGATTTTTGCTGTTTTGCAGTCCTTTGTAATCCTCTTGTTTTGGATTGCTGTGAGAACTGAGGAAGTTCCAGTTTTACAGTTTGGTGGCCGAAACCCCAAGTGGCTGCTGCAAAAGCATCAGAAAATGCAGCTCTTTTCCCTGTGAGCCCCTCACCTGACCCAGCCTCCCAATCCCTGGCTGCAGCAAAGATCTGCGTGGTGTCACTGCTCACACCTCACACACCAGAGAGAAAGAAAGGAGCCAGAGCAGTAATGAAGATTTCTTCCTTAGTTTCATAAAATCATCTATAGACAAATAGTTACTGCAAAAACTTTGCACAGAATATTCTGCTTAGCTGTCATGCTATTGTATTTTGTCCTCCCTATAACATTATTCAGTCTGTAATTAGGGCCAACTCCTGCCTCTCCTCCCAATTTTGGTGAGGGGAAGAGCCAATCCCTATACGTTAACAAGGCTGAAATTTTCTAACAAACATTTGTGAGATTAGAAGATTTTGGGTGCACCCTAAAACAGTTCTGTCTGTCTGTAGTGAACAGCAAGGTACTTTTTTGTCTTGTTATAGCCTCCCTGTTGAAATTATTGGATTATTCACATCAGCAAATGTACTGGGAATAGGGATTTTACAGACAAACCTGCCCTTTCACTCATTATCTTATTACATGAAAACATATCATGGAAAAAATGTATCCAAATTAAAGGGAGGCAGGCAGGTAGGAACTTCTGAGAACTAACAAGGTAATTATTTCCAATGTTAACACTAGTCATATAGGAAATCAAGGACTTTTTGAAGCATTAAATTTAGCTAGTTATAGATGTTTTAAAATCCAAAATAAAATTCTGGACTTTAATGGCATTTTCTAAGGCAAATTGCATGGCTTTTTATTTTCTGTTCATGTACTGTGTTCATTGAATGAATAAATTTTAAGACAATGCATGGACAAAAGATGATGTGTTAGTTCATTACTGGACCTGAAAGTTTGTTTTTATCATTCTTTTATCTCCAGACTGTATTGGTGCTGCTCATCTTTGTTGTTTTCTGCACTACCAGAAGATTATTTCAAAAAAAAAAAAAAAAAAAAAAAAAAGAAAAGCCATTAAAAATATATATATATATATTCTACAGTATTAACTTTATCTGATTGAACTGCTGATTATTTTTTTAAATTTATAGTTTATCATTGTGATTTTTAATTTATTTATGATTTATATATATATAAAGCACCTGTCATCCTATTGATAAACACTCTTTGAACCATTCTGATGGCAGCAGTAAGAACAGGTACTGGTCTGTCAGTACCTCTGCACTTCTGCTTCCAAGTAATTAAGAAAAAAAAAGTTTTACTCATACCATGATTTTCACACTACTTGCTGTATCTGTGCCTTATTTGAAAAGGGAAATATAATTACAGCATTTTTGACAAATAAATTGTATAAGCTAAGAAAAACTGTAAATATTCTGTAAGGAGCAGTTAGGCTCTCTGCATGTCAGCAACCAAATATCAAAAAGGTTTCAAGTTCTCTATGCTTGTTTGGATCCCATGTTATCCTTTAATTATCTCTGTTATTCCTTCTTTGAGGATAAATATTTTTACTTCTTTAATGTGTTATCTTGGAGAAGTTATTTGTACCTGGAATATAGAAGGTGTATATCCTATCAAGATATACATGTATAATAGCATAATCCTCACAGCAAACCCACACAAACATAAAATTATTTTACTAGACTGCAAAATTACAGCAACTTGCACCAGCATTCCTTTGTGACGGTCTCTGGTAAGTAAATGTCCAAAGAAATCAGTCACTACAATTTTGAGTAAGTAGCTCTTACTCAGTTTGGAAACACTTACCATTAAGATACTAATTTCTGTGTTTCTGTAAAGCAGCTGTAACATTTTGTCATTATGCTGTTTAAGTGTCATGATAACCAAAATGTCACTGCTGTTTTTTTACTTATCAGCTGGGGGCTGTTTTGGTTTTGCAACTGTTGTCGTGAAGTAGATGTTCACTTAATTGGCCTGATTTTATCTTTTCCTTGCAACCATCTTCAGGACAGTAGATTTGCCTGATGAATCTCTGCCATTATATCAGAGACCTGCAGAAACCTTGGCTAGATCAGCCAAGGATGTGAAATTTTCTGAAACACAAATGAGTTTATCCAATTGCATTCTGAAAAAACATGGATTTCCAGAAGGGCTGAATGGGGATACTACACTGTCCTTCTCTTCTCTTGTAGAAAGTTTTTTTTTTTTAAAAAAAAAAAAGAAAAAAAAAAAGCATAATGTAAACACATTTTTCTGGAACTAACAAGACCACACAACTACTAAATTAATGAAATATTGTTGGTTTTGACTGAGTAGATAGAAAACTACAAGCAAAATATTTATTCAGTCTGGTATGTTGGTTTATGAAAGTGCATTGGTCTCTCACTTCTGAAAACAATGATACATCTGCAAGCACTTTTTTGCTGAACTAACTTGACTAGCTCTATGTGAAAGTTCACAAATAACAGAAACAATCGTTTTAATCAGTAAAGTCATAAAGCCTACAAATCATCAAAATATTATCCCTTCCAGTAACTACATATGAATATCTCAAAGAAATCATAGTATCTCAATATGTTGTGGGTTTTGGTTGCTTGGTTTGCTTTGTTTTTTTGATCTGTAGCAATGAAAAATTAACAATAAAGCTAACTTATCTGGGAATCATAAACATATTTCAGATTTCAGTGACTAAAAGCTATTCTGCCCTATTGCAAATATTGCAGTATGAGAATGGGTTTTGGCAGTGCAACAGGGCAGCTGAAGGGGTGCCAGAATAGTGAGTGTGGAGGATGACAGGCTTATTTGGCAAAATTTTAGAAAGCAGGTATAGAAAATGACATTAACTCACTTCAAGTTCATGCCAAGCCCACTCTTCAGTGGCAATAACTACTTAAGAGATTAAAATCAGTAAAGATGGATAAATTTGTATTTCTTGCACATTATAAGGGTTGCTCTTTTACTGCAGTGTTTCTTAGGCTATATCTGTGTGTGTGTAGTTGTATTTCAATTATTTTTTTTTAATATGCCTGAGTCCTCCACTGTGGTGGGTTTTATGTTTTTTGTTTGAAGAAAAATCTGTCTTCTCCCCTCCTGTCAGCTTAATTTTTTTAAATAGGGGGGTGAATGTCTTCTATTCTGGGATACTAATAATTTTGCATATTAAGACTATTCCCGTGGAATTTCTCCTTTCTCTCTCCCTGTGAAACATTGTTTTAAATGACAACAAATTCTTTAGCAAGCTGTGAAGATGATTTGACAGGAAATTGATCTTGCACATTTTATGAGAATGTTATACTTTGAGTAGTTTCTCCTGAAGGACAATAAAGATTATGTAGAAGCTAAGTTGGTAGCAAGAGGAAAGCAATATGGCTTTGCTTCAAAAAAACTTCCAGTTCTGTGCCTACAGCATCTCAATCAGTGATCCCCAAACTTACCTCACTGCTGCTCTCCCAGAGATGCTGTGCTGACCCCAGTGTTTGGAGCAGGGGCTGCCAGGAAATCCGTTTTCCTTTGCCTGTCATAAAGCACTCTGTGTGTGTCCTGTCATAAAGCACTCTGTGTGTGTGTGTGTGTGTGAATGGACTGCAATATTTACAATAATAATTTGATAAATAATTCCTTTTTTGCCTCATTGTAGAAGATTTATTTCACCATTTAACATCTTTCTGCAGGTGGTGCAAGGTAGTAAAACATCTGAACAGATAGTGGAAAAAAAACATGTTTTTCTTTTCATGAAATGGAACTGTGAAGCAGTAGGCATAAAATAATGAGATATTGTGAATTCCCAATTTTTATGACTCTGGTATTTCTATTTTTACATGGTAAACTCTGACTAAACAGAGGAGTTCCGTGATCAGTGCCAGTACTCTACCACAGTGTTAAACCTACACACAGGTATGCAGTGGGAGCTGGGAGAAAATGTTTGGAATGAGTCTTCTACCCCAGCCAGTCTCCTTCAAAAGAAAAGTACCAAGTGACCAAGGGCAATATAGTTTGTATCGACACCACAATAAATCCTTGAGTTTTATTCGAAATAGGAGGAAAAATACCACGGGGAATACTATAATGTGCTTTTACTGTGTGTATCCCCTGCAGATTACCTGCTGCTCCTAAGAGAGCAAGTGCTTTGCAGGGGATTTGCCGTAACTTGGCAAAGACAGCTCTCAGCAGGAATGGCCATGTACAAATACAGTCACACTTAAGAACCTCTGAGCAACAGTTACTGATTTGACACTGGCTAAGTAACTCTACTTTTTTTCTAAAGAAACAGAGATGGAGGTGGGCAGTGAAGGTTAAAAAACAAGGCAAACCCTTCACAGAACCATTATACCAAATTCTATGCAAAGGAACTTTTCTGTTCAAAAGAACTTTTCAAAAAGTCTAAAGCCCTTACTGTAAGCTGCTTTGTGCCCTGTTTATTGAGGAAAAATGGTATAAATATAGTGCATCTGAGCAGGATGTGACTAGAGGGGTTGCAATGGGCTTCTGGTAAAGAACCACCAAGACATTGGCTGCCATCCTGCTGGTGTGAGGTTAGTGTAGAAAGGCTGTGTCAGGTGAAGGCAGCACTTCCAGGGATCCCTTCACCTGGGAGCCATTGAGAACCAATGCTACATTTATGGGTAAATTCTAGACTGGCAGTTGCTGGGCAAGGGTTATCTTTTCATGCCCTGCTTATAATGTTTATGTTTACTTTTAGGCTGTGTTTATATTCAGTAAAATGTGTTTGCAGTACTGAAAACTAGGCTCAGGGAGGGATCTGCAGCACAGCTGTGTCTAAACCCCCCTTTTAGGGAACTGGCTCGCTCAATGGCTGCTCTTGAGGATCTTCACATACCACCGTATTGTTGAACAAAGGAGGCATACAAAGCAAAGAAGTTCTGACTGGCATTTCCCTGTGTCGATGTCTAGGTACTTCTGCAGCAATTGAAGATTTTGGGGCTGTAGCTGAGGAGCATGCCTGATCCTGAGTGGACACTTGTGCTGTTTGAAGAAGTGAGGTAGGTGCTTTCTGGCATCAGCTGCACAGTAGAAGTGCTGTCTGCTTCCTAACTTTTTCAGGTCCTAACACAGGCTTTGGTGATTACTCCGAAATTTCTGCTTGAGCAGTAACCAGTATCAACTTGTTTCTCTCAGCGTTTAGGCATGGTATAGCTGAGTGGTCATTCCCGGAGCCAGTATGGCTGGCCACATTTCCCCAGAAATATCATCCAGAGAGATCCCAAATGAAGAAAGCCCTAACCTAACAGTGTGTTGTGGTGATTTCTTTCCTGCTTGAACAAGGAGGGGTAAATTCCTACTCGAGAGCTATGCAGGAATTAAAAAGGCAAAGCAGCCTCCTGAGATCATGGAAAACAGACACAAGTACAATGTGAGAATGAAATAGGAACAACTGTTTCAAAAATTTATCATTCTAGTAAACAGAAGCAAAATTCAATCTCATCTTCTTGACACCATCACGACCTAGAAATCACATAGTAGTAGCTAGAAATCAATTTTGGAACTACTGGCCGGTAGAAAGATGGTCTGGGACATACAGCAATATGACTAAGCTTTCTAATCAGAAATGATGAATGTGGGTACTGTAACTAATAACAAATGCTGCACTGAGTTTCCACAGACAGAAAATCCAGCTGGGGCAAGGCCAGTTCTGCACTATAGCTAATAGGCAAACCCATTCTCTACAATAGTTTTCTCCAGGCTTTCTTGTTTCCCTGACTGCTGTCCTGTGGACCAGCTTGAACCTTTCAGTGTTGAGCAGTACACAAAGTGACAGCTACCTTCATAGAAAACCTGAGGCTGTGCAATATTTCAAGTCTTTCAAACTCTGTAGTTAACATGGGATTTCTCACATCTCAGGCTACAGCTTAAGGATGGGACAGATGAAATTTTCCATTACTCCCAGGTGTGGGGTTATAGAGTTAGCTGTCACAGTTGTCCACATTCTTCTCTGACTACAGTTTATAGAGTTGGACAATATGCACTATGTCTTAAAAGTAATTTTTGGCTTAGATTTCATTGCTTTTACATTGGAACAGATGTTACTAAAGTTGATATTCACTTCATGATGGTATTAAAAACAAACAAAACCCAATAAAACACTTTTTGAACTCCAGAGCAACACTGAACTTAAGAGCCCAGATTCCCTTTAAGTAGTGTGGTTAAAACATTCTTCTCACTGGGATTGTACAGTCAAATGTTATGTTTGTGTCCTTATCCTCAAAAGTCAGATTAATAGCATATCATCTAATTAAAGAAAGTACTACTACTAAAGTTGGGTATTTTGCTGCAGTTCTGTTTATTTATGTTTTTAAAAAGTAAAATGTCTTGTTCTTGAGCCCAAGCAATTATTTCCTTATGTGTCTCATTTGAGCCTCTTTCACTTACAATTCTGTCTGGAAGCTTTCTCCTTCTCCATGTTACCCACGTGCTTGAGAAATACAACATTGTTGCAATCTTCTCAACTTTTTTACTTTTTCCACTGAATACTTTTTCTTTCTAAACACACCCAGATGAAAGATGGATGTTTATCTCTAAAAACTTCAAGGACTGACATAGCCCAAAACAATTCTTGTTCTTTCCCAGGATCTTGTTACCTGAAACAGATGGTGGAAGAGAAGAGGAGTCCTGCAGGACACTTTCTCTGAGGAAAGCAATTGCCTTTAGTGACAGTTGAGCAAATGTCAATTTTTGATTCATAAGACACTTCTATATTTCAGGAAAAATATCTTATTTGGAGCAACTACAACTTAGACTTTCCCACTTTCCCACAGAATGATAACAGCTGAAACTTATGCTCAGAATTCCTAAATCAGCCTCAGATTTTTAAAATTCCACTTAAAATCTTCACAGATACTTTTGTTTCTATATTCTTCAAAATATCTTCATATAGGAAAAGAAAATAAAAGAAAGCAAGTGAAAACTTCTCACTCATGGTAGGAACTAAAAAACAACAACAAATGCTTCTCTGATAGGTAACAAAGTCAGAAATATCCATAATTTCATGCTGAATATGGAAAATATGCTTGAATTAACATGATCCCTACTCTCTACTACAAAGCTTGTGGACATTCTTAGCAATTTTTTTTATTATTTTTTTTGTCCACTTTTAAATATTTCAGAAGGAACTAAAGTCAGAATGTTTAAAATTAATTTGAAACTTTTTTTACAAAAACTTTCTGATCCTGGGATATAGCATATATTTTACTGTTAGAAAATTGTTATGCTTTTCTAAAAATGAGGCCAAAATATAAATTGACTCGATATATCCTGATGTAGAAATTCATCTAAAATGGCTTAAGTTTATTTCAGTGTGTACAGCTCAGTGTGTCGATCCAGGTCTTATTTATTTTGTAACCTCTGCTTACAAGCTCAAGTGTTTGCAGTGATCTCTGCATGCTTTGAACAAGGACTCTGGCACAAATCTCCCACTACTAAAATTAATTCACTGATGTAAATCCCGACTAAGTCATTTTGGCTTAAAGAGACACTTGAGAAAGTGGGGACAGAAGGTAACCTAAAGTGTGATTTGCCACTGAGGTGTTTTGATAATGAGCATTGTCTCCTCTGCAATGCCCAGATGTCTGAAAACCCAGTTTCTGAAAAATACACCCTGTGCTTCCTCTGCAACATGGCATGCAGTGCAATCTCTCTGTCCATAGGAAACATCTTGTTTTTATATTTTGTTATAAGCTTCTTATTATCTTATTACATTAATATATCACAAAATTACTACATTCATATTAATATATTACTATAATGCATAAAATAATTAATGCATTTGTTATTGCTGATATATAAAATTATCATTATAATATTTGATCGTGTTCCACCGAGGGAAGAGATTTGTTAACAATATCAGGAGAAGTAGAATCACACAGTTGCAATGGTGGAGGGAAATAACAAGAACGAAAAATCATAAATGTTCTTGATTCTTACACAAATCATAAATGTTCTTGATTCTTACACAAGGCAAGGTTTTAAACCATTTTAAGCAGAAGTGATGACCAACATCAGTTTGTAAGAATAAAGTCCAGGTGTCTCTAAATGTCATCTTCTTACTGACTTCAGAAAGGAAAGAAACCCCAAGAAGCTAGAAGAGCTTCAAAATAGGCATAAAATTAACTCCTCTGTTGGAACAAGGACTAGCCATTTATCAACAGAAACCAAGCCCTGAGTGTAGACAGTCTCCATATAGATTAGATAAAGGCTCAACTGATAAAACCAAGAGAATTTAAGGAAGAAAAGATGGACAAAGACCAGAGAGCTCCTGAAACAAACGATTATCAGGCATTTGTTCTATTAGCAATATAGGGTGAGATCTTTACCTGCTGTAATTACCATAGAAGCAATGCAACTAATTGTGCTGCATGGCGGCAGTAGCTGTAGTCCATGTAAATTTACTCAATCTTATATTCACATTCTAAGTGTAATGCATTTTTTCCATGCCTTAGTTGCTGTGCAAAGGCAACAAATGATCTTCATGAAGTACTTTCTTCCCAGGCAATCCAGTAAATTAACACTTAATGGACATCTGTTTTTTATAACAAATATTTCTAAGCATTATAACTTCTCTGATTCAGCTTCACCTTAGACGGTTTATTTTTATGATAACAAAGAGGAAAGAAATGAATTATACTGAACTTTTCACCATTCACTGGTCTTTATTACAACAAAATTCTCTAGGATACAAGCTGCATCCAACATTCAGAGCTACTAAAAGTTTTGTGGGGCCAGGAGCCAAGGGAATGGGTTGGTCTGAGCAACTTTGCTCTTTCCTCACTAGCAGCTCAAAGATCCTGCACTACATTTTATGCTCCTCTGTCTGTTATCTAGCACTTCAGTTCTTCTCCCCTGTGACCAAATTCTTTAGATTGTCATCTTGTTTCTCCAGTCTTGCTAGAACTGGGGGGCTGTACAGGAATTAACCTTACAACCCTCCAGTGTCTTGGTGACTATTAAATGTGCTCAAGAAATCTGTTTCTTCCCATAGCTCTTTCAAATCAAAGCTAATGCAACAAAACAATAAATTACCATAGGAAAGGATAAGTGACCTTACAGAACAAATTCTGGCTTTTCTGCAAGCTTCAGAGCTTCATGCATTCCTGCAGCCGATAGTTTCCGGTTGATATTTCTATATCTGCATTGCAGGAGGTTGCGGTAAGTTGTCCTCAGGTCCCGATTGAAGAAGGCATATATAAAAGGGTTAATGAGGGAGTTTGCGTAACCCAACCATAGAAATGTTCTTTCAACCCACAGTGGGATACAGCTGCACGCTGTACCACAGATAAAGGGCCTGGCAGTTGAGAGGAGAAAAAACGGCAGCCAGCACACGGTGAAAGCCCCAACAATAATTCCAAGTGTAGTGGCAGCTTTCTGTTCTCTCTTAAAGATGGAAATGTTTTTCTTGTCGTTCTTCAGGAGTCGTGAAAAGTTAGTACATTCTTCAGATTCTTTGTGCAGTTTTACAGCTCCATTCATAGAAATCCCTTCCACTTCTTCTGGCCGGGGAAAACCAGCAAACTTGTGTTTGGCAGCACTCCTCTTAGCAGCTTTGTAAATCTGATAGTACATGAAAAGCATCACTGACATTGGGATATAAAATGCAACTGCTGTGGAGTAAATTGTGTAGCCAAAGTCTTGACTGATCAAACAAACCTTTTCATCATTTACATTTTTGGCCCAACCAAAGAGCGGGGGTATGGTGATGGAGGCAGATAGGAGCCATACACACAGGATCATTTTAGCCATACACTTCCCGTTCTGCCTTACAGGATACGTGAGAGGTCTTGTTATTCCCAGGTACCTAGAACAACAACGTAGAGTTTTTATATAATGCAGTGGTTAACTAATAAAAATAATTTCTCATAGTCTGCTATTAAATATAATATCTTTAGCTAAGGTTTCTGGTTTTACATTTTTCAATGCATGTATTTCAAACTTGAAAATTCGTGTATATACCTTTCACTTTAAGATTTATGGTGCTGGTATTTTGTATAAAAGTTCTTTCCTAGAGGGAAATCTCTAGCCACAAAGGACTGGGATTTTAATGCAGTTGTGCAATCTTCATGCAGATAATTAATTTTTTGGTTATTAAGGAAATTCTGAAACCCAAGTTTTATTCAGCTAACTTATGCAATCTTGGTGTATAGACAAGTACATATAGTATATTTTTTCAGTGGATGTTTAAGTTCAAAGAAGCATGCATTCATCTTCATTCCTCTTACACGTTCATCACTTTTGAAGATCCCTGCCACTAACCTGAGATGATGAGTTGTCTTTCTTAGTTTCACATTTCAGACAGGCACTACAAACTGTAAACTTATGTCAAGAGTAGATTATTTCAATACTACAATAATTCTTTTTAATGTCATTTAATTAGAAATGACATTTATTCGATATCCTAACTCCTACCAAACAAAATAACAATCTATCACGGTGTCAGTTCAGGAAGACCTGTGATAAAAAAAAACAGTTTTACCAGAAGCTAAGTTTAGAATGGTAAATAATCATAAACAGACAAGAAACATGTTTACAACGTATCAAGTTTTCATAGAAAAAATGAAGTCTGCTGACAACTTCCACATTTCCAAAGCTATGAGAGATTATACCGCTTTTTTCTTTTGTTTGTTTGTTTCTTCCTAGTAAAACATTTATCACTATTGCCTCATATAGCTGAACAGCAAGATCCTAAGCTTGTTTGCTCTCAACTACAGAAGATCTCCTTATCTTCTCTCTAATGATGGGAGCTTCTCTTAGATGGCATTGGACGTTTGGTGGCTTTTGTTGTTGTAGTTGTTGTTTGTTTGTTTCCACCTAATATTTATACTTAAAATTTGGTTTTTGCTCAGCTGGAACTTAACTTCCTGTTAACTTCTCAAATGGTTCTTTTGTTCCCTCCCTCACTCCCCCCCCCTCCCCCCCAAAGGAAGAATTTTGAGAAAAAGCAACGTGATTCACATCGCTACCTACTTATAAAAGACATGGTTTCACATCAGCTTTCAGAACATGGCTTGGGTTTCAAGAGGTACCAGCATTCAATTATACAGTGAAGGTTTTGGAAGGTTATAAACAAGAAATATGATAATATGAGTATATTCATTTTTATCTGAGATTTTTTTCCTTTCCCTATTCACCCAGCAAATCAAAATACAAGTATTTTCCCAGCTCTGCAGAATGCTGCAATGTTGATTTTACTGCAATGCAGTAAATTATGGCCAGTGCTGCTGCTTTCAACAAGAACCCAGGTATGCTACAGTATTGGAAATAAAAGGATGCATCATTTCATGATGTAGTAGGTTTCTGTTCTGATGAGTACCAACAACCACTGTCAACAACGTCACTGACATTTATATTACTGATATGGCAAGTTTTATACAAAGGACAAACTGGTTTATTTTGTCCTATTCTTGAAAGCAAACACAAGCGAAAGACAGCAGTCCTCTATTGTGCCAAAGAAGTTGTGCCTGGTGGTGCTGTGAGCTAGGAGTATTAAAATTGGCTGGAATTAAGGCACTAGGATGTATGAACATGGATCACAGTATTAGAAAAGGTTGTTTCTTGTCCACCTCATCATCATCTTTAGAACATAACCATTACCCCAGTGACAAGGGCCTTGGGCATACTATAGATGTCACAGAGATTTCTATTTTACACAATAGTAGCCAAAACTGGTTGCACTGCTAAGGAGGGAGACTTTTCCAAATTGAAGAAAGAGGAAAGTTGCTCAAACCAACCCATTCCTTCTGGGACAGCAGTGACACACCCTTAAAATTTGTCTGAGCATAGCGTGACTTAGCTACAAAAGAGCTAAATGCACCGTTTGTGCAGAAAGCTTCCATATCACTTACAGTGTATTGCTTAAAAAATAAAAAAAAATAATAAAAAAAAAAGTTGAAAAACTATTACTCAATTTCTCATTAAAAATAACATGATTACGAGGTGAGCTTCATTATGTAGCCAGAATAGTTAAATTAGATTTCTGTGAAAATCAGATCTGTGGGCTACATACGCTGAATGCCTAGTGAGGTATCAGAATATAACAAAAAGAATTAATGAAAGCAAAAGTATACTGAAAAGACTTAAAATTTATTGGTTTTGCCCTGGCACCACTTTTTTGGGGAAGCTATCTGAGCTTCAAAAATGCTATTTGAAATTAAAATACATTAATTAACATAAAAATATACCAGTATCCTTTCTGCCTTATTCATTTTGGTAAATGTAGTATGACGGGAAAAAAGTCAGCAGGCATAAATGAAGGAACTTTATCTTTTTATCTCTATATGAAATCTATTACCCTTGAAAACTTACTTGCAACTTCAAAATAATGTAAATCATTGTTGGTGTCTAATACACTAGAGAGTGTCCAAGACTTAATATATTCATGAGTTTCAAAAATGTGTCAAATTCATTGCAAAAATATACTTTGTAATGTTTAATCTTTAATTACTACCTTCCAAAATGACTAGAGGTAAATCAGCTGAATTTACTGTATCATTCCAAAAATACGTAACATCTTGAGGCATTAATGCTGGGAAAGATTGAAGTCAAATTCCCCAAAAAGCCTATTTCATGTATCTCAGACATCCACATGTCTGAAAGAACTGTCTTGGACTTGCTATTCTGAGATTTGTTCCTTTTCCATGCCATAGATGTTTGTTTTGATCTTGGCAGGAAAGAATTCATGCCTCAGTTCTCAGTGGTAAGAAAAGGGCAATGCAATTTGCTATTCTTCCTCTGTGGACTTTCCTGAATACACAGCTATGCCAGACAGGGCTTCTTTACCACCTATTCGTATTACACCCAGCACAGTGGGGACTAAATCTAGGTTATTCCCCAAAAGCTCCCTATTGCAGGCACCTGGCCTTTACTTCTCACTCTGCATTGTCTGATGCTGTGTGCAGCACACCCAAGTGCAGGATCCTGCCCCAAACCACTATGGGATCACTGTTATAAGCACAACACATGGTCTGGTCACAGCCCTGCTGCCTCTCCAGAAAGGTGTGAATGAAAGAGTGAATGGAGGGAAAAGAGCACAGAGAGCCTAGATACTAGCATCTAGAGCATACAACAACAGAAAGATGATGGGAAATTTTCTTGTACTACATCACTGAAATCTGGAAGACAATCCCTTGCTCAAATAGCTCAAAGTAAGAACAGAGAATGTAGACCAAACAGAGGGAAATAGTGAGGAGCAGAGTAAATTTGTTTTTAAAATAATGTGTAAACCTATGAGCACATCCCCAATTCTGGACTAATTTCTTTTGATTTCTTCTCTTTCCTATTGGAGGAATAGAAACTGCTTCCTGTGCTGCAGTCTTGTTCAGGTGTGAGGCATGAGGGGTGCCCAGTCCTGGGGAGGAATAATCACTTGCCATCCCCTTTCTGCTCATACATAGGTGTGAAGAGTTTCCTTCTCCTTGGAGTGCTATCATCGACTATTGTGAACAGCCACCATTTGCCACATTTACAATAGCAACAATGCAAAAGTTAAATGAATAAATCAACGAATAAATCTTTTTTTTTTTTTTTTTTTTTTTTCCCTTTCCCTTAATAAAGATCCGGCTCCCCCTGACCTAGTGTTCTTTTCCAGTACCTCTAAATTGTTACAGACAATAATAAAACCAGTACAACTGTATAGGAGAGCATTCAAGGTTTTCTGTTTGGTTTTGTTTTGTTTTCTGTCTTTTTGATGTTGATGTATTACAATGATCTATTAGAAACGTTTTTGTCCCACAGGGCTAACACAGTCTGCATTGTCACTTGAACTGCAGATCACACAGGCATTTGTTATGAGTGTGCTCAGTATGCTAAATACTACAGAAGGCGTTGGGCTGTAGCTTGCATGGAGGGTAGGCAGTGTATCACAGAACAGGAATCCACAGACCCTGGTTCCCATCGCTGGCACATCATTTTATCTTACTGTGACTCTTTGTATTCCTTCTTCCCATCCGTGCTTTGCTTAGCTATTTGCTTGTTGTGATGGCTGTCATATTCTACTGCTGGCACAATGATTATCAGGACAAGAACTGGACTGCTACTGTGTGCCACTTGATGTTACTAGATATTGGAAAAAAAAAAGGCAAAAAAAAACCAACAACACCCTACAGGCTCAATACAATTTCTTTTATTGTAAATAAGTTTACTTTATTCTCTAACCTAGAAAACTGTAAAAAATAGTTTGCTTTTTCTCCACTACTGTGAAGTGAGTTCACATAGGCATCTCCTCCTCATCAAAAAAATTTCCATGAAGATATTTCTCATCATCTGCTTGTGAGTAACTCTCCATTTGTGACTGAAGCAATTCCATAGACACAGAAGAAGATACAAATTCTTTCTCCAAAAATAAAAAAGCAGCAGTGCCAGGCATGGTAGCATTTCAGGTTAACCAAGCATGACTTTTTTTTTTTGGTGTTTTTTTTTTTTCCAGCAGAAAATTCTTTTTTTTTTTTTTTTTTTTTTTTTTTTTTTGTTTCCACCTGAGAAAGCTAAATATCTGTTATATTTAGGCTGTAAAATGGAAATTTGTTCATAGCTAGACTGGAAATTTTGAGATAGGTCTATTCCCCCCACCTTCTAAATTATGAATAAAGCAAACTGAGACAAACTGAAACTTAACAGCTACATCAACTTCAACAACAGAAAGAAAATAGTATTAGGATGGTCCAATTTACCTCTGTTATTTGTCTGTGACGATAGTCAGAGTTACAGAAAAATAAACAGCTAAGAGCATTAAAACTGTTTGAAAGCCTCCTGCACAACCCAATAGTAAATTGAATGAACCATGACATGGGGATTGCTTATGCT